TTGTACATTCTGCTCAGATCTACCTATTCCTTCTCACTCTTGACCCCTCTTAGTGTCTGTACCTTGCAGACTCAACTGACCTCTTCTACCTCAACCAGTACTAGAGATTGACATTTTGGAGCCTACTGTGAGGGGGGTTTCTTAAGGTGTCTCAAGTAGGCTGAGCAGCCAACAGGTGGCAGTACTACTAAGAGCACACTAACTCAATCACAGAAGAATCAGATTCTGGACCTGAATTAGATTTGGTTGACTGTAACCTCTTACAACCTGTATCCTACATGCCTAGTCCTGTTTCTGAAGGGGTTTCTGTACAACCTCTTGAGCAATCTGGCTTAGCTTCACCATCCACATTTCATAGTTCATTCCCTAGTTTGTTTCTATCAACCTCTATACACAACTCTACTTGTTCTGCATCTCCTGTTCTGTCTGTTTAAGAAGAGGACCACACAATCACTCTAGCATTTCTACCAATTCTGATTGTTCTAACAGTTCTGAGTACACAGAACAATCTGATAAGTTCCTAGTCTCAACAGATGAGCTCACAGAATAATCCAAGCAGCTTGCCTACTACAGCTAGTACTCTGAGTGGCCAGCCAGCCACAACCAACATTCTGAATGCTCTACCAGTTACAATCTGAGGACAGACTAGCCTGCCCCTGTACTAAACAAGCTGTGATACTCTCTGTTATGACAGAACCAATGTGTAGGACCTGCCTTGGTTCCTTGAAGAAGTAGAAATGATTAGAGATGAGTTCCAACTTTCTAATCAACAGCTTATCTGGAGAGTAAAATATTATACTAACCAATCCAATTCTAAGATCTGGGCCTTAATACCTAAAGCTGTAGACAGTGCCTCAGATTGGTAAGCTGCTCAAGCAGCAATTCTCAGATTATACCTGTCCCTTAACTACAATCACTACTATGTGAAGAATGACCTCTGTATCCTGGTCCAACAATAGACTGTCACCAGAATCCAGAACTAAGAGGAGTTTGCAGAGTACTAGTACAAATTCCAGAAGATAGTAAGCTTCCTAGTCTCAAAGAAAGAAATCATGGAAGAAGATTGGAACAAAGCATTCCTCAACAGTATTACAGGTGCCTTCAAAGATCAGCTAACTCTCTGTTTGCTAGCCTACAACCCTAACCACAACAGTCACATAGCTTACACATACACTGAAGTTGTCAAGGCCACTAAGCTTATGTAGAGAGGTATAGCTTTGCAACACTCAGGAAAGACAGCCAATACAACCAGAACAACAAGTTCTGGAACCATTCTAATAAAGAAAGAAGACACAAACATGACTACTATCCTAGATTCACTCTGCTCATTCTAAAGCAAGTTAGACTCGTTTGAACACAAGACCAGTTCCCTGTTTGCAGGAAACACAGGTATACAATCTGTACAATCTGTACAATCCACTCATTCTACAGGGCTGCCCTACAACACAAACTACTCCTTCTACAGAGAAGACAAACACTTCATTTGCTTGTGTCTAAAGGTTAATGAGTTCATTTGTAACAGAAAGTGCATCCAGAACACATTCAGAAAGGTTGTTCTCCCTAACAGATCATTTGTTCTGTCAACAATCCAAGGCCAACTACTCATGGATTGTTTCAACCAGTATTATACAACTAACCCTGGAAAGCATGCCTAAGTCTCCCAAGATGTACAGGACACACTACTGTATATAGTGTCCCTCCTTGAAATTGCAAAGCCAGCACTAGTATCCTAAACATTATTTGCTGTTCCAGCCACATATATTAAAGAAGTCTTAGAAGCAGAATACAAGGTCAAAAGACTTGAAGTCTTACTCAGAGAGGTAAAGAAGAAAGTCACTACTAGTAAGAAGCTCAAGTTTGACAGAGTAGAGGTTCTAAGGTACAGAACAACAAGTGTTCTGAAGAAGAAGGACAAGGAACCTAAGCTGGAACCAAAGCCTGCACCACCTGCCAAAGTAAGCCAGGCCTCAAAGTATGACAGATTGAAGTATGCTGACAAGCCTGCTACTAGACCACCACCAGAACCATATCAGTACTGTAATCTCTCTCCTATTGAAGACCCTGTCATTGTCTAGCAGATGGTCTCTTACATTCTAGACTCTAGCATCAGTCTCACCCTGAAGGAGCTGTTGTTGATTACACCTGATGTCTGAAAGCAAGTCAAGGAACTGTCATCTGCTAGGCAAGTTCTGAACACTGCCACACACCTTGTCTCAACAGAACCCTCAGAACCAACAACTTCCAAAGATGCAATTGTAGCTCAAGTCTCACAGCATGTATGGAGCCTAGAGTTGGTTACAGAACAGGCTATACTGTTACATACAGTTAAAGCCATCTTTGAAGATACTGAAGAAATCCACTGTATTCTAGACCAAGGAGTAACACTCTGCATCATTTGTAAGGATGTATAGAAATGTCTTAGAATCCATCTGTGTTCTGATCTCACAATTATGCTTGAAACTACTGACTCTGGACAAGCACTGACACTCAGTACTGTTAAGAATGTAAAGATCAATATTGCTGGAGTTGACATCACCCTCCAAGCTCAAGTTGTTTGTCAAGCCCTATTTGAGGCACTCCTAGACTGACCATTCTTTACTATTACAGAATGTAAAACAAAGGACTTTATTAACAGTAACCAGTCCATAACACTATCAGATCCCTTGGATTGTCAACAGAAGTGCTGAGTTATGACCAGAACATAATCTGTTCCACAGAAACATAACAAATAAGGATTTGTAGTAATCACTGATTTCTCAACTCCTATATTAGTCAATCAGCCCCTTAGTGTTCAGGACAAACAGTGTTCTGATTTGAGTTCTGATACTACCAAAGCCACAATTCCCAACATGCACACACCACCCTACAATAGACACACACTAGTCTCTACCATAGTCAATCTGCTCCTCAGTTGTCCAGTCACCCTGTCAGCCACCCTAGGATTAGACCCCTTTGTTCTATACACACCTGACAGTCCTAGAGAAAATGTATTTGTATACAAGAAGGTAGCAAAGAAGGTTAGACCAGTTGCCAGAACTCTCCCAGAGGAGTTTTGGATCATTCAACAGAAGTATCCTGATCTGTTGAAGGACATGCTAGAACTACCACTACACTCTAAGCTGTTTGTCCCAACACACTGTTTCACACAAGAATGTATGGAAGCTCTTGACATCAATCCATACAACTTCCTCTGGCCAGAAGAGTGCCAGCTTTTGATCAACCTGATTTTGATGTATGAGGATGCCTTTGCCTAGAACAAGCTTGAGAAAGGCACCCTGGACCTGGAATACTTTGATCTGATTTTGATTCTGACTGTTCTGCATATTCTATAGGTACAAAGGAACATCCAGATTCTACAGGGAAACCTCAACACAGTTGTGAAAATTCTCAAAGACAAAATTGCCACCAGAGTTTACAAGCCATCAAACTCATCTTACTGTTCCTAATGGTTTACTGTAGTAAAGAAAGACAGAAAGTCTCTGCACCTGGTCCACAACCTCCAGGAACTCAACTGAGTTTCAATCCAAGACTCATCTGTACCTCTAATGATTGAACAGGTTGTTGAATCCTTCTCTGGAAGGGCCATTTACTCTGTGCTAGATCTCTTCATTACCTTCAACCAACACTCTCTCAATGAATGCTCTCACAATCTTACAATGTTTCAGACACTACTTGGAACGTTCTGACTTACTGTTATTCTAATAGGTTATACTAATTCTTTTCAAATTATACATAGTGATATTACTTTTATTTTACAGGACAAAATTCCTAATACAGTACAACCCTACACTGATGATGTCTATGTCAAAGGCAGAACTACAAGATACAAACTTCTGGACAGAACATACAAAACTGTTCCCAGAAACCCTAGTATCTGACAATTTGTATGGGAACACACTCACAACCTAAACTGTGTCATACAGCAAGTCAAAGCAGTCCACAGAACGTTCTCCAGTCTGAAGCTGTGTGTGTTCCAACTATACACAACTGTCTTAGGCCATAAGTGTACCTATGCCAGAAGAGAGCCAGATGATTCAAAAGTCCAGAAAATCTGTGACTGGCCCACATGTCAATCTGTCTCCAAAGTTAGAGGATTCCTTGGAACCACAGGTGTTCTCTGTATGTTTATTTGAAATTTTGCTCAGCTTGCTAGACCACTCACACATTTGACCAAGCACAATGTTCTGTTTGAGTTCTGTTCAGAACACATGGTAGTAATGGACAAACTCAAAGACACCATTATCAATAGCCCTGCCTTATGTACTATTGACTATAAGTCAGACATAGAGGTTATTGTCACTGTGGACTCATCTATTATTGGTGTAGGTTTCTATCTTGGACAAGAACACCTTGACAGTTGTCATTGAATCAACTGATTCAGATTGATTAACTGGAACAAAGCACAATCCTGATACTCTCAAGCCAAGATCAAACTCTTCAGATTGTTCTGCACACTCTGTACCCTACAAATTCACCTTATCAGAGTAAGGAAGTTAGTAGTGGAAATGGATACTGTCTATGTTAAGGGTATGATAAATAACCTGGACCTACAGCTGAATGCCACAATCAACAGATGGATTGCTAGAATCCTACTGTTCAACTTTGAGTTCCAACACATTCCAGCCCTACAGTTTGCTTGTACTGACAGACTGTCTTGACATCCACACACTAAAGCTGACCCAGAAGAAGAAGATGACTTTAAGGAATGGATTGACCAAGCTTACACCTTCTGTTACAGTTCTGTGTTCACTGTTCCAAACAATACCAAACCTTCTGAGACATTTCCAACAACTGATTGTACACATGCTAGAGAATATTGTCTCAGACAAGTCAAGACCTTCCTGGAAACATGCCTCTGACTGCCCAGGATGGAAAATCACAAATTCACCACCTTTGTTTGCTATGCAACCACTTTCTTTGTCAAGAACAGCTGACTGTGGCAGAAAACCCAGAACAGCAACCACCAACTTGTAATAGAACCCAACCAACAATAGAATCTTGTCAAGACTGTGTATAACAATCTTGGACATAAAGGAGTCTACTCTGTCCAGGCTAGACTTCTTGACTGCTTCTGGTGGCCTAGCCTTGGACCTGACATCAAGTACTACATCTGCACCTGCCACAAATACCAACTCTGTCAGACAACTCAAATCCTAATCCCTCCCAGTGTTCTGAAGATTGCCTCATTATTTGCAAAGGTACACATTGACACTAAGTTCATACTGAAAGCGGGAGGGTTCTAATACATTGTTCACACTCAATGTACACTCTCTGGCTACCCCAAGTTCTACTTACTCTGTTCCAAAACTGGACAAAGCATCAGACGATTCATTTTTGAAGATATTCTCTGTCAATTTAGTGTGTGCCCAGAACTCGTTACTGACAACAGAACCCTGTTTGTTGCTGCACTAGATTGGCTTCACAACCAATACCACATCAATCACATCTGTATTAGCACATACAACTCTCAAGCTAATAGTATTATTGAACACTGCCACTTTGACATACAGGAAGCCCTTATGAAGGCTGCTGAAGGGAATGAACTACAATGGTATGAACACACACATTCTGTCTTTTGGTTGGATCGGATCACAATCCATTGCACAACTAGCATGTCCCCTTATTTTATTGTCCATAACATTGAACCACTTCTCCCATTTGATATCACAGAAGCAATGTATCTTACTCCAGCACCAGACAAACTCATGACAACAACAGAACTCATTACAACTCAAGCATGTCAACTACAGAAACGTCTGGCCAACCTTTAAGCTATCACAGAATGCATCCATGTGGACTAGATCACTTTGCTCCAACAATTTGAAGAAACACACAAACACTCAATCAAAGATTTTAACTTTGAACCCAGTTGACTAGTCCTCATACACAACTCCAAATCACAAATGGATCTTGGATGAAAAACCAAGCCACACTATCTTGGACTGTACATAGTAGTCTGTTGTACACAAGGAGGATCCTATATTGTAGCTGAACTTGATGGATCAGTCTCCTGTCTTTGTATTACAGCATTCTGCTTGGTTCTGTACTTTGCCCACACTACACTCTCAATTCTAGTTACATGTCTTGTTGAAAACTTCAGTCTAGCTGATGAAATTAACAACACTGACAACCTGCCACTGTCAGACAAGCCTTCCAAGGACTCCAACTCCAACTAAAGGCCAATTGTGGCCAACCACCATAGACCTATGCATTCCTTACTTTCTTGAATTTGCCTTTTTCTATTAACCCCTTATAATATTCTAGACAATGTTCCAATCCCATTCTACTCTATCTTCTGTTTTTCTTTAATTTTGCTTTTAACTAATTGTAGATTATAGTTAGACTTACACTTTGAACCTGTATGGTTTTCCCTGTAGTATGTTTTTTCCCACTGGGTTTTTTGTACACAGGTTTTCGTCCAGCAGCCCTTAGACCACTTTTGCATTTCTTTAGTCACAACAGTCTCAAAGTCATGTACTGAGAGCTTTGTTCTGTTCTGTTCTGTTCTGTTCTGTTCTTGTTCTGTTCTCACACTGTTCTTGTTCTATTTTGGTTCTGTTTTTGTTCTGTTTCTTTTTTGGTTTTGTTCTGTGCTTGTTCCATTCTTGTTCTGTTCTCATTCCATTAGTTTGTCTTACTTTCAGTATACATATAGCCTTGCCTCTGTTGTTTACCTATCAATACTGAGTCACTCTTATTACCTTACAATTATCACACTTGTGCTTTAGTAACATCACACATTGTTATGAATATACAGAAAATACTATTCAAAACTATAGAGGGGGGATTATATTTGGCTGCTTCTACAGGCAGCTTTTACATTGACTGTCTCACCTATGCTAGTTCAGTTGTTCCAAACAGAACGTCTAATTCTGTCCATCCTTCTGTCTATCCTTCCAACACCTTGCCTTCATGCCCATCCTAGCCTATAGCTACTCTATGTCCCATATTGTTGTATCTAACATTGCACAATAGGTAGCCACCTGCCTTCTAAGGACACAAAGCTTGCATTTGAGCTCCAGATCCTCTCAGAACTCACTGTTGTCTGACAAGTGTTCTGAGAGTTCACCTAGAAGAAAATTGTCTTCAAAAGCTATCAGTATTGATCTTGGAACAACTTACCCAGATCCTCCAGACACACCCTCAACAGCCCAGCCACAGGGTACAGGTTTGTCACTATTGTCCTCCCCTGCCTCAACTATACATCCCTTACTACCTTACTAGTCTTTGCAAGAGAGTAACAGATCTTGCTCTTCTTGCATGCCAAGCATGCAATTGTCTCACTATACTCTTAAATGTATACTACATACTAACAGATACAGCTGTTACACCTCCAACTTGTCAAAAGTGTCAGGCTACTGTCTAGCACTGACTCTGGCACTAGAGAACTGTTCTAGAACCACAACTTGACCTGCCCATTTTCAACCTCCTCTGCTACCCAGTCTGTCTTGTGGAAGTCTGATATGTACAACACAGAATGCCTCCTGCCCAAATATATGTAATCTGTATCTAGATCAAGTGACTAGTAGTAGTCAGTTGAATCATTAATAAGTAAAGAAGGGACTACATACTGCTCAAGTTGTCCTCCTCATCATTCTGACAGCCTGGTTACACTCCTTGCTACTCACAAAGGAGTGTGTCCAACCTCTTGTTATCCAGTGTTTGATCCTACTTGTGTGCTCAGTACACAGACAACTCATACTCTAGCTTGGAACCTAGCAGAATGTCTGGTTCACCCATAGGAGCACCTGTCTCAGCATCCTGGACAGTGTGCCTAACCATATTAGACAGCCTCAGAACTACAACCTCTACTACCTACTTTGTTGGAGGAGCAATGCTTAGTTTGTCAACAGCTATAGCATCTTCATACTCTTGAAGTGGTTTGCCAATCAGAGCATCCTTACAGTTACTATACTCTGTATTGATTTGTAACACCCATGTTTTGAGTTGAAGCATGAGCTACTGTAGTGTAGCAAGCACAAAGCTGGCCTGCATACTTGATACAGTGAGTGTATCCTAATCTGACTGTACTGTCTTGTCAGAAGACCTAGAGACAATACAATGTCCAAGAACTTACCTACAACTGTACCAGTTCTGCCCTCTACTCCATTACTACTGATAGCCAATCCACTGTCCTTACACACTGTAGCAACTCCTGTATCCTTTAGACAAGGGCCCACACTCAGTTGTAGACCTGATTCACTTCTTACAACAACAACATGGTTGAAGAAGAAGGACAAACTCAAAAAGAAGCAGAAGATTGAAACATAAAGTGCACCAGTTTGCAAATCTACACCCTCAGGTGTGACTGGGGACAGTCACATTCTAAAACACCTGGGAGATGTCACACTCACACAACATGTATGTTCCAATATGTTCTGATTAGAAGGGCTCAGTTGCATCAAAGTTGTATCATCCTCATGTCAGCAATCCTTCAATTACATCATCATTGCCCACACAATAGTCTTGGTCACTCAACTTGGACTAGTTGGGTTCCAGACTCTAGTTCTGATTCACAAAGGCAAGACTCTGAGCCTTCAGACAGCTGGTTGATCAATACAAAGGGGACTCAGATCCAGAGTCCTGGATAGGTTGATACAAAGGAGACAGTAGTGGATTTGTTCACAAAGGACTAGTAGCTACAAAGGACTCATAATTTCTATAAATACTCTCATATAATTTGTACTTTCCAGCAATCAAGTTACTCTCTACTACAACTCTTAGTGTGTAGTTTGACAGTCTCATCAGTTAAACATTCCATCTTGCCTTGTCTTGTCTTGTATTGCCTTGTTCTGAAGTGCAGCTTTGTTGTTCCACACTACTCTTGTCTTGTTAATCATCACCTTCAGAACTTGTACATTCTGCTCAGATCTACCTATTCCTTCTCACTCTTGACCCCTCTCAGTGTCTGTACCTTGCAGACTCAACTGACCTCTTCTACCTCAACTGGTACTAGAGATCAACACTATAGACTATATGTATACTGACTCTTACTACTACCCTTCCTTACTTCATCATTCCATTCCTTTGACCACCCCTTCATTCTTTGTTCATTCTATAGTCTCTTACCCTTTGTCCATCCCTTCATTCTTTGTACCTTTATCTTTGACATTCCTTTCTTTCATTCTTTGTGACTTATCATTCTTAGTGGCTCATGCTCCCTGAGTACTCTTGTGTAGTTTAGTATATATAGGTGTATGAGATCAGACTGGTCCTGTAGTCTTGATCTTGTCTACTCTAGGTAGTCCTGTACTCTTAGGCTCACTCTATATACTCTACTCTTGTCTCACTCTCTCTCTCTGCCTGTTCTGCAAGTTCTGACTATGTTCTAGTGCTTGTGTTCTGTATTTCTGTTGTGTAGGATAGTTGTAGCCTGGGTCCCCTTGCTGAGCCTTTGGGTCCCCTCTATACTGTTGCTGACACTATAGTGTATAGTACACTGAAGCATTCAAGATGATAATTATAGTATATATAGTTATACATATACTATAGAGGGGGAAATCATAATTACTAAGACAATAATTTCAAAGTGTTACATTTGTAGAGAGTAAGATAAAAGTGTAGTAACAATGTAGATATGAGTAGAGAGTGTAAGACTTATAACCTGTTAGTGTGTTAAGGTTGCAAAGTTCTCTAAATGATAGGAAACATTTGTTCATAGGTTTATACACTACTTACAATAATACTAAGAGTAAGTCATACTTATAGTATGTAAGTGTTAATACAAGTTGACTGTATGTATCTGTTCAATATGTTAATAATAAGCTTCATTGTCTATAGATTAAAGTATTATATACTATATACTATCAGATGTCTCAGATGTCTTAAATATCTTAGATGACATGTCTTAGTAATAGTATATACTTGTAAGATGTTTGTATAATATAAGACATATAATACATTTATCTAAAATAAAGGTTAACAAGTGCCTTAGTATAGTTTAGTATATATACATGTATAAGATCAGACTAGTCTTATAGTCTTAATCTTGTCTACTCTAGATAGTCCTGTACTCTTAGCCTCACCCTATATACCTTACTCTTGTCTCACTCTACTCTTGTGTCTGAACCACAAGTTCTGCTCATTCTGATACTTACATTCTAGTACTAACATCTCTGTATCTCTGTTGTGTAGAATAGTTGTAGCCTAAGTCCTCTTACTGAGCCTTTGAGTCCTCTCTATACTGTTACTAACACATGTCTGTACAGGGTACAGTTGTAAAAATACAACTGTTTTTTACATACTGTATACAACTGTACACTTATAAATACAAATTTAATATTATATTAATAATAATAAATTGTTAATACTTTAAAATTGTTAAAAAGGCCTATTATGACTCTACATATATGTCCTAATTGAATTAGCACTTACTGTACCTATTTTCATCAATATATTTAGTAATCTGAAATATAATTTGTATGAAGTAATAAAAGAGAGTCACATAATTAACTATTTTGAGAAGATAAATAATATGATATTAATACTTTGACCTCAAAATTAGCTATATTTAGTGTTTTTATGTATAAAAGGTATATTATAAGGTATAAAAAAGAAAGAATTATAAATTGTACTGTATATGTTATTAACACTGAAATCTTCTTTAAATGTTTGTATTCTGTATACTACTATATACTACTGTATTTGGCCTACAGAGATACAGGATACAGTCTGTTTTATACAAGCCATATTTGGCATCTTAAAGCCTAGTACAAGTACAGATTGTACTATGACTGAAACAGGTTGTAACTGTACTGTACAGTACAATTCA